TTTTTTTTTTTTTTTTTTGGTAACTTGGCATATAACATGCCAGCTCATTAATCATCCATTGGAGACAATGTCACAGTGTCTATATGTGTGTGTTGTGTGTGTGTGGCAGTTAGTTTTGGGCTTGGGCTTGGTCTTGCTCTTGCTCTTGCTTGGTATTGGCGTGTGCCCCCTTGATCATTCTGGCAATCGCAGCTCGGCATCCATCGAGCATTGAATTCAATTGTTAATCTTTGATTGGTCGATTGAAGTCGCACCGCGCGCTAAGCTGAAAACCATCTCAAAAGTGGTTTAGTGCTTTATTTCTATATGTTTCGTATTTTTTTTTTTTCTTTTTTCATCAGCAGTGAATGGTTTTTGTCATTTGGCAGCGGGACGAGAAGTTTCAGCATATAAAAGCTTTAATTGTAACCAGAAATCGATGCAACATATTTGGTATATGAATAAGCCAAATTATTTAATTGGCAAGATGTATTTAGAGATAGAATAGCAGGAAAGCTGTGTATATTAAAATTTATTTCTTAGACAGGTATTTCAAAATGGAATATAATTTAATTTTGGTTGAATGATCAATTATGGCTATATTATGGTTAAGTTTCTGATAAATGAAATTGGTCAAAGAAAACTTTTAAAATAGCATTTCTTAAATATTACATCTTATTACCACGAACTATAGCTTGAATTGATAAATTGAAATGTTTCATAAAAAAGTTTGACAGGTTTCTCATTCATTCTCTCACCAAAATGATTTAAATAGATGATCAAGATATGTTTATGTAATTGAAAAAGGATTTAATTAACCTGTTAGTAAATATTTTGTATATTATACAATATTATATAATATATAAACAAATATTTTTCCTTCTTCTTTTTGCAATTGTTATGAATTTTTCAATAGCCGTCGGAGTTTGGTTGAAGAAAACAGAGAAGTTAAAATAAATTACATATTATTTATGACATATACAAAATTTATATGCATTTTAAATTTATAAATATTTTAGAAAATTAGTTTTCGAACGTAAAAAATATTAAAACTAAATTTTTTTAATGTGTACTATTATTTTACAAATTAATATACAAATTTTACAAATTAAAATTTGTATAAATGTTATTAATGAAACTAAAGGTTATTAAAGAAGTTTATAAGAATGCATAAAATATTCTAAAATATTTTTGGTATTCCTTGCATGATAGGAAAATTCTATTTCTATTTAAATTTCATAGACAGTTTATGAATTTTTTCATTTAAGTTTTCCAATTTAATTGAAATAAATGTAAAACGCATTCAATGAAAAGCAATTTCAGTTTGACTTTCGGTTAATTTCAACAAGTTCCGTTACTCCAGACTAAATGAAAATTTAAATACTTAAGCAGTAAAACAAATGCAATGTAACGGTCAGTTTTAGTTTAACCCCCGTTCTAGAGAGGCAGCGATGCTTGGCATTTTCAACTTATGCCACAAACATTTGCTACCCCTGCGCAGGACACACAAGGATCGGCGTCTTATGTGGCCAACAGGGCGTGAACTGAAAACTTAACTAGAGAATATTTAAAAAATACGTTAAAAAATAAAAATGCGAGCAGCGAATGCGCACAGGTGTGCAACGTGCTCACTTTTTTTTTATTATTATGTTTTGGCTTTATTTATTTTTTTTAATTGCAAAAAGATTTGAGCAGCTAAGCTCAGCATATGCTAATTGAAATATACAGAATGTTTATATACTGTATCAAGTATTAAAATGAAAAATAAATATATTTTTAAGCTGACATTGATATCAAGATAGGAAATATAAGTTGAAAAGCCAACGACAAGGACAACGGCGACAACAACAACAGGATATCAGGGGCAAAGCCCGCTGGGAATCTATGGAATATTGTCAAATGAGACGTGTGCATAAATCCCACATATTTATAGGCAAACACGGAGCACCCTAATGTACATTAGGGTGTTCGCGAGGCCATTGGATTAGGCTTAAATTGAGCGTGTGCTGAGCGGCGCTGCGCTGCGGCGCGCTGATGGATCTCTAAATGAAATTAACAAACATTTTAATAACAAATGAAAACATGTGCGGTTGCCGCAGATTGCATGCGCGCATGCGCAAAAAGGACATGCGGAGGGAGGGGGTTGACGTGCTTAGCCCTTATACATATAGGGGATGCTGGTCGATGCTATTGTTGTTGCTGTTGCTGTTGTTGTTGTTGTTGTTGTTGTTGTTGGCTCGTGCCGTTGACTTTGTCACGCGCATTTCATGCAGCAACCGGAACTCTAATTGCCTCAGCTGTACAATTTATCCTGCTGCCAGCATATATGTACATATAGAGGAATATACATATATCCGATATATCAACATTTCAATCTCAATCTTAGCAACTCACCATTATCACGATCGCTGCGATCATCGCTATTGTTGTTGTTATTGTTATTGTTGATGTTGTTGTTGTTGTTGCTAGCGGCTGCCATGGCGGCTGCTGCGGCAGCGGCGGCGGCTGCGGCTGCTGCAGTTGCTGCCACTGCTGCCGCGCTGCTGCTGCCATTCCGTAGGCTGTCGCTGATGTCGTAGGGCGTGCGGGAGCGGGGATCGACCACGATTTCGGCGCCTGCACTAATATCCCGTTTCGTTTCGTACCACAGCTAAATGAGGATGCAATAAAAAATAATTAAAAAATTGAAAAAATAGGAGGTTAACGGTCATTATTTGGTACGCACACAGCGATCGACAACGAAATTCCTTAAATTAGCCTCTTCAGCCTCATCGATCTGAGCGTTGCGTATCTTTTTCAGCCATGTGGCCACATCCGCCGAGGGCTCCAGCCAGCCATGGAATAGCGGTCCGGCAATTACCTAAAATACAAGTGAAACGAAATTTAATTCAATTACAAATATTTCTTAGTTAATTAACAAATTAAACCGCTGGCGCCATCTGTTGTCTGCAATGGCGCATAACTGTTCTAACTGGCATATGTTGCGGCGTTTAGCGCAGTCGCAAACCAGCAGTGGTGACAACAACCAGCATATGACTGCGCCAAAAGGTCGTAGAAATGTCTTAAAATAGTAGTTTTTAGTGTAAAAGAGTAGCAGAAGGGTAGGCAAATATGGCAAAAGGGGAATCTCTTGAATCATAAATCAAAGTTCATTACATTAAAAAAACAAAACAAAACAAAAAATGTAATGTAAAAAATATTATAAATAAATAAATAAATAAATATAATAAATAAATACAAAATTTGAAAAAAAAAAATGTATTTCATATATGTATATGTCTTGATAACAGAAAATTAGTAAGATATTCAAAAATGACAAGAAAAATTAAAATATTAATATGTAAACAAAAAAAAAAAAAAAATATTTCAAAAAATGTTTAAGAAAATTCATTTGTATTTAAATTAAATTAAGAAAAAAAAGTAAAATTTTAAAATATATCAGATTGGTAAAAATATAAGAATAATAAACATACTTAAATTAAGACTTTTGTAAAATACATACAACATTTCGCAAAAATATTATGATTCAAATATGCTATTATTACAGAAAATGAATTCGTTAACTGTTAAAGTCAACCAATTTACTCTAAAGCTAATAATTTTAACGCCTTTCATGCGCAGCAGGATGGCGCCACGCCCTCTACGCTGACGCCAGTAAAAAAAAAACAAGGTCATTCAAAGAAGGCAAAAAAATTGCAGCAAAAAAGAGCAACAACAAAAAAAAAAGCGCAGAGACGCCGACAGTTTTTGTATGCAAAATAAAAGCAGCGCCTCAGCCAAAAAAAAAACAACAACGATAACAAACAACAGCGTAGCGTCGCTAAATACGCATAATTTATAAAAAAAAACGACTGCGGTTTGGCAGGGCAACCAAAGACGCAGAGACGCCAACAGCAGCAGCACCAGCACCAGCAACGGCAGCCAAATGACTTGCATTTACCGTTACGCCGTCGCAGTCAACGCCAGTCGCCGCCGCCGTCAGGCTCTTGTCCAACAAGTCGAATGGAAAAACGGTGCTTTACCGATTTTGTTTTCTTTTTCTCCTTTTTTTATGCATTCTTCATTAAGTGGCGAGCGTCTGCATGCGCTAGTATGTGTGTGTGTGTGTGAGTGGGAGAGTCTGCAGAGTTTGGGCAGCGCTGCGAAAAAAAAAGTACTGAGTAGAGAGTGAGAGAGTGCTTTTGAGTGTGTGCGTGTGAGGAGAGAAAAAAAAAGTGCACGCTCCAAAAATTAAGTTAACAACGCTCAAGTGCTCGCGCCGTGGCTAAAAAAAAAAATTATTTCAAACCAACTTTATATCGAAGCACACACACACACACACATACATATATTTATGTGCATATGTAAGTATTTTTTCTAAAATAAAATTCAAGTTGCGTTTTACACATGAGCGCAGCTGCTGCGCAAGTACATATAAGTGTGTGTATGTGTGGTCAAGTGCGGGTGTAACGATATGTGAAATTTGGAGCGACCGCGGCTTCAACTGATGAAGAGCACACATATACATATGTATATGTATATGCAAAATAATGAGAACATAAGCTGAACTTATTCTATATGCAAATACTTTAATTGTTAATAAAAGTTAATAATATATAAATAACTGCCAAGCTATTATATGCATACTTAAGAACTGTTCTACGCATGTAAATGCATTGTGTGAATGCATGCTTGTGTGATTGCGTGAATGTGTGAATATATGAGTCCATTAATCTATGAATATTAATATGAATGTTAACATACATGAATGTATGAAAGTATGAATGTGTGAATACATGAATGTATGAATGCATAAGTGTTTTAAGTTTTCTTTTATATGAATGTGTGAATACACATCTATGTATATACATATATAGTATATGAGTGCATAAAAAGTTTGCAATATACCTCACATAAGACTTGAAAGCTTTATTAAACCGTTGAGAAAATAATTCGACAGAAACTATAAAACAGCATATCAAAGGCAATAAAACTATTCTCAAAATTCGGGGGAAAAGACGAATGTGAAATAAAATCAGTAGAAGAGTTATATAAAGAATGAGTGAAGCCCTATAAAGACTTTGCTGGTAGCAACAATTTCAGCTTAAGTTGAAGTTTTTAGAGTTAAAACAATTACAAATCTTACAATCTTTGTCCTCGTATGTTTCTATAAGAAATCAGTTTTTTATTTGATGCCACAACTGCAAAACATGAGCTAATCGCAGCTCTGTCGGATATCGGCAATAAACAGAGATTAGCCTCAGCTCCCTCAGAGCGGAAATCGCAATATGAGTTGGTCACCAGCAGCAGATAAGATCAGAAGGATATCCAATAGATAGATAACAGGACTAAAGCAACTAAGCTACTAGCCAAAGATTGCGACGGCTGTGCAGTCATATGAGAAGTTGTAGTTGTCGTTGTTGTAGTTGTTTTAGTTGTTATTGCTGTGAGCTAATCCCTGCTGCAAGCCGGCACATGTGACAGAGCCAAGGGAAAAACGTGTCCTGCTACCGTTTGTAGCTATTCATAACTTTATTAAAAAAAAAAAAAAAAAAAAGTATGAAAAATGAAAAAGAGGCCACAAAATGCGTACAAAAACATGGCACAGTCAATGGGCAAGAAAAATATTTACGCGCCAGAGATAATCTCTTCAAAGTGTTGGGTTCACACCACGGCTTCAGGGGCTTCAAATTGCCATAGATACAGAAGCACAGCTAAAGATACAGCTACAGATACAGATACAGATATGGCCAATGTATCTGTCAAAACGGAAATGTGAACGAGAAAGAGAGAGAGGCAGCGGCAAAGGGAGAGGGAGAGGGAAAAGTGCGCTTGATTTGAGGATCATCCAGTGAGCAAAAAAAAAATATATATATATGTATATTCATATATGAAAAGGAAGGGATCAACGCAAGGACTGTCTGTCAACGTGTCCTTTTGCCAATTTTGCCACTGCCAACTGTCGTTTTGGCTCGAGTGCCAGCAACAACAACAACAACAATAATATTGTTGCAATACCTGAGAGAGCGAGAGGGAGAGCCTAGGGTAGGGTCCTCAGATTCCCTCTGACAATTGTCAACAGGCTCGAGGCGCGATAATTTGATTGGATTGTCTGTCAGTTTGTCTGCCTGCAAAAGTGTCAGTTGACCGACAATCGGACCGACGGACGGACCGACTGACTGACTGACAAGCAATCGAAGGGTTCGCATCCCAAACTAATTGGAATCATCAGGCCGAGCCTCAACTTAAGCCTCATTTAGGGCGCACTTTGTGGATGGCCCGGTGAGACTCACAAAATTAGCTCTGGCCGAGGATTAGGCACATTTGACTGACAATTGAGCGTAGCCCAGAAACAGAAATAAAACCAGAGCAAGAGCTAGAGCTAGAGCCAGAGCCGCAGCCACTGCTAATCAAATCTTTTTCCAATCGTTTGATTTTCCCAACCAAAAAAAATCGCACAGTTTTTGGGCAATTTTCGCATAAAAATTTCGCGCGCAGCTTTGATGGGATTAAATTTCCCGAGCGAAAAAAAAGGAAGCGGAAATTGGAGACGATTTGCAGACAGAAAATTCGCACATATGCGAAAGGATTATGATGAAAATATATATATTTAGAGAGAGAGAGAGAGAGAGAGAGAGAGGTATATATTATATGTGATATCTATGACAATGTCACGAGCTGTACAAAATGTTTCAATTTGCGGTTTTCTTTTTGGGTTAAGGGTAGAGCAAATTGAGGAATCGATAGAACCTTCATAACATATAAGAAAAAAATGAGAGACTATAAAAAATGTAATTACAAATTATGTGATTAGAATACAAACTTTTGCAGCTATCAATATTATCAATTTCCTTGACTATAGATCATCTAGTCCAAAGTTTAAAAATTCAACCACGTCATGCCTAATGGTCGTCGGGATGATAATACTATCTTTTATTATTCCCAGTTAACGATAAGGCTGATATATTCTAAGAACTAGATTCCTTTGATATCTCAATTGAAGTGTTTTTGGTAATTGTTATAATGGACTCTAGCTCAATGCTATAATCTCTAAAAAGGAAACACTAAAATGAAAAACAGATAGTAATATCATTTTCAGTTATAAATAGCGAGAATAAGAAGCAGAATAAATATGTGTTTGTATATTGATGTATTGACACTATTGTTAATCAAATCTTGATCGTAATAAGAATATATGACAGCCCTAGAAATGTTTAACTATTTCTAACAGAATAGAGATTGAAAGAACTTAAATGACATATCCTTCTTTCTGCTTTTGGATATAGCTTTCATTTAGACTAAAAAGTGACTTAAACTGATACTTCTAGAGTGCTTCTATATATTACATAGGGCTAAAATGCTTAGAATTCAATTTCATTAGGCACAGAGTAATCACAGCAAAAAATGCTGAAATAATTTCTCTTTCAAATAGATGTGGGAAAATACATGTGACTAAATATATATTATAATCAGCTAGTTAACTCACCTCCCAGGCCAGATGGCGATCGCTGGGCTGCTGGCACAGATGCATGGGAAAGGGTCCGTAGCGGGAGTCGCGTGGCAAATCGGTCTTGGCATAGACGCCATTATCACGAATGTCCAGATCACAAAAGGGGTCGCGTAGGCGCGCCATCTGCATTAGAAGCTCCTGCGTCTTGTCGCTGAACAGGTGATCCATGTTGGTGCCGCTGCCGGAACCAGAGCCGGAACCCGAGCCGGAGCCGGAGCCAGAGCCAGAGCCAGAGCCGGAGGCAGAGATCGAGGCAGAGACAGAAGCGGGCGGCGAACGTTGCAGTCGCTGCTGCTGCAAATGCAACGATAAATGCGGCGGCGGCGGCAGCGATGGTTGCTGCTGCAGTGACTGCGACTGCGACGGCTGCTGAAGCAGCGCCGCAGGAGGCGGGGATATCGTGGGCGGTAGATGGCGGCCGAACGTCTCCTCGGGCCGACCCTGGCTGGACGTTAAGTGCGACGGCGGCAGCGGGCCAAAGGGCGGCGCTCCACTGCTGAGATCCAAATGATGATGATGGTGGCGCACGACGCTCGGATCGTAGTCGTCGCCGTTAGAGCCTGTGAAAAAAGAGCGATAACGATTAACGATTATCGATTAACGATTAACAATTAGCGTTCGGCATTCGCAAGTTTGACTTTGCTCAAGTGGCTCGTAATCCACAACAAGATCAGTTGCTCAGCGACTGTCAGTCCACAAATAGAAAGTGGTCTAGATAAAGACGTCTCATATCTCTGACAATGACAACGTACACCCGCACCCACACCCTCACCCACATAGACATGTGGACATCGTATCAGCCTGGTATCGGAGTTGTCATCGTTGCTTAATTTGGTGTTTGGGCTCTCTATCTCAATGAGTTTGGCAATTGTTGCGCACTTCAGAGCGAATGAGGGAGAGACTGAGAGAGAGAGAGGGAGAGAATGGGCGATCCCTGAATTTGTACATCGATTATCTATAATGGGGCCCCACTGTACTGTGCCCCGGCATGGCGCGTGAAGTGTGCGTTCGCAGCTCACCTGTAGATCGAATTACACGATTGTATTTTATTGCTTGTTGTTATGCAGCCTGTGCAAACAATGTCTTCGAATCGAATACCTCGCGGCAACTATTCGAAATATTTCTGATATTTTGTTTATTTGCTATATTAAATTTTTTGTTTCTGCATTTGGTTTTGTATTTATTTCGAAAGATGTGACTTGTTCAGCTGTTGTTTATCAAATAAATAGACAAAACAACAGAACAACGATTCCCCGAACCAGACTAGACATTTGAGATGACATTTAACTCAGCGCTAAAGTTTTACATAAATGATATGGACTCTCCATTCATTCATTTGACTGATATAATCAACAGTTTACTGTTAATACTTATCATAATTTGATAAGATCCTAATGATTGATATGTTTCAGAAAAACATTTTTGCTTCATTGCAAAAACTTTCTTTGAAATCGACTTCAACTTCAAGCTAAAATTTGTTATAATAAATATTTATTTTGTTTCCGTAAATTAAATATTTTTCCCATTATTGTATTTAAGTTAATAAGAATTACATAAGAAATAATAAGATATACAGAAAATCTTTCTGTTGTATTTGGTTGAAGATTTAGCAATCCATTCTCATTAACATTCCCATTCTCATCCTGATTCTCATTCCCATCCTCATTCTCATTCTCATTCTCATTCCCATCCTCATTCCCATTCTCATCCTGACTTTCATTATCATTCTTATTCTCATTCTCATTTTCATTACTCATTATTATTATCACTCTCTTTATATTTCTCAATTTCTCTTACTTTCCTTCTCTTCCCACTCTCTCTCTCTCTCTCTCTCACTCTGTCTCTTTCTCCCCATCTCCGTCTCTCTGTCTGCTTGTTCATTGCTAATAACCCATATTCCCACAACTTGAAAAAGTTCTTAACAAGCCTTAACACACTTTTAATCTCACACTAATTCTCCACACACACATATACCCACACCAACACTTACACACAGATAATCATGAAAAACACTTGTCAAAAATGTTGCACAAATTACGCACCGATTATTTATTTATTTACTGTTCTTGTAGTGGTTGTTGTTGTTGTTGTTGTTGTTGTGGTTGTCATTGTTGTCTAGGGCTTGCAGCTAGCTACCTAGTGGCTTATTTAAACACTCGAAACTAAATCGTAATTTGAGCTGTTAGACAGAAATATATATGTATATGTATATGTATTTGTATTTGTATGTGTTGTATGTGTATATGACAAGCGCTGTCCAAGTTACAGGGCAACAAATAGCCGCGATAAGAGGCGAAGTGAAAACGAAAACGAAAACGAAAACGAGAGGCCGAAAAAAAGATATCGTCCAGTCAGTCAGAGCGCGCACACACGACAGCCGCAATAGGTAGTAACAGTAATACGAGCTCTTGTCGAATACCCAGTTGATAAGTATCTGCCATATAAATAAGCCGCACACACACACTAACACACCCGCACACACATTGGCAAGTGGTTTACCAATCCACAACAAGCTGACAAGTTTCGCACTTGCGTGGCACACGCTATTTGCATAATATCCTTAACAAACCCATCCGAAATCGAGCCTTATTTACTGTTGTCTATCTCACTCGCTCTCTCTCTCTCTCTCGCTCTTCCGTCCCGCTTTGAAGTGCCTTTGTGGGCACCGTCTGTCTTCGCGCCCACCAAACCAGAACTACACTAAGTCCATCCGTTAGCTATACAGTTATAATCGTACCGGAGCTACTACTATATAGCAAAGCGTTGCGCCCAGCGATAAGCGATGAGTACTCGGTATCAGTTCTAGCTGTTCCTTCAGCTGTGCATGAAGCGGGTTTTTTATTTTATTTCTATTTCATTTTATAATTTTTTTTTTTTTTTTTTTTCGGTTCTTCACAGCTATCATAAGAATTTATTATTCACATCCACTTAGGCACATGTGTTTCGGTTTAAGTTTTCGGTTCTGTTTGGGGTCTCTGCTAATTAGTTTAGTTAATTACATTTCGGATTTGTTTTAAACTGTTACGCTTTTGTTCTAAAATTGTATTTTGCTTTTGCTTTTCTTCTCTCTCTCTCTTTCTTCTTTGATAAGATGCCAACTGTGAGTCACTCGACATGCAAGCTGCGGCATAGAGATTTGCAATAGCGTAAATATCTGAGTTGGATCTNTTTTTTTTTTTTTTTTTTTTTGTGTTTTCGGTTCTTCACAGCTATCATAAGAATTTATTATTCACATCCACTTAGGCACATGTGTTTTTTTTTGTGTTTTCGGTTCTTCACAGCTATCATAAGAATTTATTATTCACATCCACTTAGGCACATGTGTTTCGGTTTAAGTTTTCGGTTCTGTTTGGGGTCTCTGCTAATTAGTTTAGTTAATTACATTTCGGATTTGTTTTAAACTGTTACGCTTTTGTTCTAAAATTGTATTTTGCTTTTGCTTTTCTTCTCTCTCTCTCTTTCTTCTTTGATAAGATGCCAACTGTGAGTCACTCGACATGCAAGCTGCGGCATAGAGATTTGCAATAGCGTAAATATCTGAGTTGGATCTCAGGGTATTTTCATTTTCAAAGTTTTTTATTTACTGCTCTTGGAATGTTTAGAAATAGTTAAGCAAGCAAGTATTCAAATCGAAAAAGAATTTCAATTAGATCAAATGAAGGATTCATATATTCAGCTAGCCAATTTTTTATTTTATATATATTTGTAATAAAGTTCTTGAAATTATTCTAACCTATTCCCAGTTTGCAAAGATTCGAATTCCCATTAGTTTACTCTCCACTCTCACACTCAAATATCTATATATACTTCACCTAAATTAATTTACTTCAAGTTGTGTGTCTTTGCTTTTTATTCCAAAGAAGTTTTGAAAAAATCGCAATTACAATGAGACTAAGTCTGATAGATCGATCAATCAGTAATCTGTAGCTAAAGATACTTAATATAACGTATCCAAGGCAAATTCGCAATGAGTATGTGGATAACTCACTGTCTGTATAAAATCTATCTGTGATATAGTCAAAGATAAATCATGATTCCATTAAGTATCTATGTGTTAACTGAGTGCATGCATAAATCATCTCAGCTGAGATAAGTTTGTGGCTGAGATTTACGCACAAATCGAGAAAAATGTTTAATGCGTTTCTATTTTGCTTTGAATGAATTAAGTATCTTTGGAAACCTCAAATACATTTGTCAGATGACAAAGTTATGCAATACAGAAAGTATACATATCTGATGATACACAACATTTCACTACATTTTCTCAGCAAACTCATTTTATAAAGTATTTATAAAATGCACAACAAGCAATGTATTCCATATTTCAATAGAACACCGCTCACTTGTAAAACACTTCTTAAAATAAAATTTACATAATTAATATATCTTTTCTAGATATGTTACCTCAATCGGAAATCGTTTTGTTTTTTAAGTTTAATTTAACACCCACAGTGAAAAGTATCTGGGTAATTTAGCTCAACACGCTGTGCTTCAATAAAGTATCTATTAGATATTTTAATTGAAAGTTGAGATAATTGGCCAGCTCACACAAAACGGACTGGAAGCTTCTCTCACACACGTCTGCACTGTCACACAATGAATGGAAAACTAAATCCAGTTTCTCTATATATTATCGCCATATTTGTTCGTAGACGCGGGGGACTGTAGATCCATACATATATGTATATAGAGGTATATTTGTATATATATATATATACACACAGTTCTAATGTCTCTGTTTCAAAGTAGCTGCTGCGAAATATTTGTGGCAACATCAATTGGTAACTCAAAACTTGACGTTCGCCATAAAAATGCACTGATAAACGCGAAGGCTAGACGACAGGGGGCTGGGGTCGGGACTGTGAGGCGATGTATCCAGCTAACGATAGACACCAGATAAGCGATATGGGTATTTAGCTGAAACCAACCAACCTGACATAATATAACGTTCGAATAACATGATACGCGTTTCACTTGTAGCTAACACAAATTACAATTGTAAACAATTTTCAGATTCAGATTCCGATTGCGATTCCGATTCCGATTCCGATTTAGATACATTTGGTGGGCCGGACGCGACGCGACATGGCTACAAAGTGCGAGTTGAATGCACGGCCCACGTTGCGTATGCGCTATATTACAGATATTTCCTTTATACTCGAACGGTGTTTGCCGTTCTTCACTCAAATGTGTTTATGTTCGATTTGGTGTCGTCTCTATCTGCCGGTTGTCTTCGCAAGACTGAGAACCGAACGGATACGTGACGCTGGCAGCGCGACGATAG